CAGCCCTGCCTCTGCCTCTGCCACAGCAAAATCCCTCACCTCCATGTGACCATGATGAAAGGAAGAGGCAGCCTTCATCCACACTCCTGGAGCGCCTCCATCCTTGCTCTGAAGCACGTGTCCCTTCTGTAAGCCGATCGAGGGCTTCTTCCACCATTGTCGGCAGCACCAGCCTCTTTCCCACCACCATGTCACCGAATGCTGCAAAATGCATGGAGCACCTCTAGCACAAAGCAGCCAATCCATGCACCTGGTGATCCAACAGTCCTGCCGCCACCACTGTCCTCTCCAATCCCCCCAAGGCCAGTTCTCCAAGCCACAACCCACGTAAAGGAATGAGTGTCAGGCACTACATGCAATTCTGTCCCAAGTTGCCAAACAGCCTGGCAAGGGATACAAGACACTTGGGCCAGGTAGAGGGCCAATCCAACTCTGTCTGGTCAGGAAAGAACCCCAGAAGGTTTCTCCACCATCCAGTCCAAAACATTAGACCTCCAACCATCCACAACATACTAAAATCCTCTAAACGACAGCACCCATTCCATTTAAGCATTCTGACTTGGCACTATACTGAAAAAAATAAAATCTACTTTGGTATAGAAAATGGTCTTAATAACTTGTTACATATTTTTGATGAAAGAACATCAATATCATTTTTGAGTTGTTTTAGAGCTCTTTAGAAGGAGTATTTAGAACCTGATGATTTTGCATTGTTTCAGATTCTTAGTAATGTCTAGTACTTCATCTCAGCTGTCCTTTCTTCTTCCTTTTAGGCACTGCTTTTTCAGCCTAAATGAGCTTCTGTTATTCTGGCTCTGAGTAACCTCCATGTATCTTGGAAAGAATGCTCTCTAGTCTTATTCTTTCAACTTCTTTTTTGCCAACCCCTTCTTTATTTAAATATTCCTCTTTCAAAGTGAAAGGTGACTGTTTTAGACTTCATAGATAATTTTATAGCTCAAACAGCACTGCGATTTCAGTTTCCAGTTGGTTGAACTATACTCATATCTTGTCTAAAGTCTTGTGCGCCAATTCAGTTTGAATCTATAGTTGCCTTCCCATTGATCAGTTCTATATCCAATTATTCTATGTCAGATGTAAAGAGTATTTTAAAAGGTTACCTCTCTGAAGATAATTAAGGCTAGCCATCTTCTGCCTGCCTTATAGATTTCATTCTCTGTTACAAAACCATCCTCAGACTTTTGGTTAGTATGTCCCACTATAAATTATTTTTGAGGTCTGATATTATCACAGAAGGGGTCCCAGAAGTCATCTAGTCCAATTTCTTGTTTGGTGCATCATCTGCAGTGATTCTCTGTGGGCACATTATCCACTTGAGATTTCTAGCTTATTAGCCCCTGTGCCTTCTTTAATGTACAGAGCAATACATTCCCTGATTGTCACAAGTAGCTCCACCTGGATGTGAATGCAGTCTCAGTGGGAATGTTCTCTGTGCCCTATATCCGCACCTAGACCTCCAGAGACAGCATTCAAAGGACACTTTAACACTTACAGGAAAGATGCTTTATCCACACTCAGTGAAACATGTCTTTCAAATACTTTATACAGATCCAGTGAATAATACCGGGAGGGAGGGGGCTGTGGCGGGATGAAAAAGTGTGCCCTAACAGGCATCTCAGTGGTGACAGATTCCTGGTACAAAGGGAGGTTGAGGGTGGGAAATTGATGCAGTTGACACAATTGTCTTTATACATTGCTCACATTGATAGGAAGGTAATATGAATAAAGTTTCTTGCATCGATTATTCTGCATTATGATGTTGAGAGGCGTCCAATATACAGTGGTAGCTTTTTCTTTTGTTTTTTCTTGGTTACTTTGTTTAGAAGACACTGGCTTGTCCATAGTCGTGTAAATTGTAGGGTAAAAAGGGGAGGAAGGAAGTGGTCACCTTAACTGCCAGAATGGTTTTTCTGCCTCTCTTGTTCCTCCTTTCACAGAACCTTCCTTCGATCACGTTCCAAGTCCATGTTTTTGGAGTTGGATTATATATATTTTTTTCTCTTTTCTTCAGCCTTTTAGATTGTGAGGGCTGGGAGCGGTTTATATCTTTCAGCTTTCCTATATTTCCAGGCTGAGAGAGAACAGGAGGAGAACAGAAACTGATATTCATTGCTGTGTTCAGAAGTGAGATCAAATGAACTTTAGCCCTCTTGAAAATGTCAGGACTTCTTGCCCAGATTAACGTTTAAAGAAAGAAAAAGAATGTGATGAATTTGCCATTTGAGTTGAGAATGTGTGGAAAGTCTCCTTTTGCATGCTGTATAAATCAGGGGCATTTGGGGGGGGAGTGTGTCAGAAACATTAAGATAGCAGCTGTGTCAGTGAGATCAAAGATCCACCCTCTTTTTACATGTATCATGACACATGTAAAAAAAGAGATGGGACATGAGCACCCACTTGATTTTTTTGACTCCACCCTCCACCCAGGTGTCCCTGCTATAGATTTTATCTACAGAAAACCCTATATTAATTGCAAGAGCTTTCTTTTGGGAATGAAAGAGGAAATGAATAGTTTAGACTACACAAAATGAGAGGAATTGAATTGCTATAATATAATGCTTAACATTTCTCATATATAAGAGCGGTGTCATGTTCAGCTTTATTGTGTAGCACAATGATAATGAAACAGCATAACTGTAATTTCCTCTGAAAGCTCTAAAAGTGGATGAGTCTCTTAATTCGAGAGTCTTTTACTGCACTTGTTGCTATTTCTTTTCAAAGTTCCTGGCCCCAGGAAAATACCCTAATGTGTTCATCTAACTGCAGTGCTAGCTCATGGAAATTGGATTGTGTCAGAGTGGCAATTCTGTGATGTTTATGTTTCTGAATTTCATGAAACTTACTTCCACTTTTTAGTTTTTGTGGTTTCAAACAGGAAGAAGGTTTCACGGCTAGGAACCACAGGGCTAGGTATGAACAGAATTTGTCCCTGACCCCAAAGTGGCCGTCTTTGCCATGATTATTATACAAACTGCACTTTTGACATTCAGGGAAAGCACCTTGGGACATCTGTTGCTTAATGGAACAAAATAAAGAAATTCCCAACACTGTTTTTGAGGCACAACTAAATTAGTTAAGGGGATTCCAGTCTGTATTTCCTGTAAATGTTATTTTTAAAATAAAATGAATTTTAATAAATCACCAAATTGAAATGTGGAACAATCATTGAATACAAGTAGAAATTCTAAACATACAATTACTGTACAACAAAAATATTAAAAAGAAAGTATGGCAAATAATAGCATAGTAAACAGTCTAAACAGGAAAAAAAACTAACAAAACTCTTTAGAAGGAGGGAAACCAAGGCATTGTCTTGTGAAATGGCTCTGGAGCTTTGCATACTCTTAGGATTTGGGATTTGCATCTGAAGTGGGAAAGTTGCTTCAGGAGCGGGGGAGGTGTAAGTGAACTCATTGTATCTGTTGGCACCTTCTTAAGAAGCTGCACCTTTTTCTGGATTTGCTCCATGGCTGCACAGTCCCCAGAAAATACAATTGAATTAAGGAGACGATGATAATGCAGCCTGCCAGATTGCTTCCTTAAGCATCCATAAAGAATTTCATTACTCAAACCAGAAAAGGAGCGGAGAGAGGTTTGGTTGTTTTAAAAAAACAGTTTCTTTCAGAGTTGTCAGCAGTGGGTGGCCAAAGAATTCAAGATGGTGGCCACGAGGGTGCAATTGATTGGTTCTTTAAGTGTATTGCATGTGGACCCCCCAACTCCTTTTCTTTATCCTTCTTTGAACAAGTCTGTGTAGGAAGGAGTGAAAAGAAAGGGGAGATATTGCAATTGCCCTTTTGGATTATTTTAGTGGGCTGCCAAATGGCTTTCCGCCCCTGGACAGGAAAATAATGATAGAATAGATTGAATAAATACATCTGCAGTTTTGTTCTGCTGTCCTGCTTTATGGGTAATGCTGAATTTGTAGAGCTGCAATGAGAGAGACCACCGCGTCAGTCTTGGATTTGTATCTTTCATCTGTTGGAACCACTTCAGAGGCTGGTGGTCTGTGATTACTGTAAACTCTCTACCCCATAGGTAGATTCAGAAGGTTTCGATAGCCCATTTGATGGCATACACTTCCTTCTTGATGGTACTATATTTTTGTTCCCGGAGTAATTTATCATGTAGGAGTCCACCATTATTTTTTTTTTGAGGTTAAAAAGGATCCTTGTATTCAATTAGCTTGGGATCTAGTAATCCACCCTTGGATATTAAACGAACCTGTGACAATATTATAATATAAATATACAACATAAAGATATGAGGGGAAATTATAGGAAAGAAATAGAAGAACAGTAAACCAGGGCATCAAAATTTGAACAAAGCCTGGTTCAGAAAGTTGAGCGGGGTAATTCTGAATGTATTTTCACTTAACTTAGTAAAATGATCCCTAACATGGAATTTGCCTATTTCACAGCTGTTGCATATTGAAATTTGGATTCAGTGACCCCGTACCCCAGAGTGACGCTTGAGATTTGACCGCCTTTGGTTGCTCCAGTCCCAGCAACTTGGGTTTTGAGAGATATCTTTAGTTTTACTGTTTGCTCCACTTCATTGCCACACAGTCTTCTGACCTGCGTAATAGTGTTTTGTGTCCGATGTCAGCTAGTTGTCCAGCCTTGCGGTTGATGGCTTTTTTTTTTATGGGAAATACCAGCAAAGTAATCTTAAGTTTCTACTTCAGCTCCTGACGAGAGGCCTTTGGAAGCTTGCAAATGGTTTTTTCATTTCCTCCCCCCCACCCCACCCCAAATAATAAAGGTTTCTTCTCATTCACTTTCAAAACATAGCCTGCAGTTGATAATGCCATATTATGGGAGTCAGGGAAAAGCAGAAAATTTATTTAACTCTTTAGAATCCAAATTTTATTAGATGCTTTGGTATGCAGTTTTGAAATGCTACTTCCTCACGCTAATCTCTAAAAGTAATTGTTCCTTAGTGGGAATATAATCTCTTTCATTGTTCTTTCCTTCTAGTTAAATATGACCTTAATAACCCTGCAAAACACGCCAAGCTGGACTTTCTCAATAACCTTGCCACTGGACTGGTTTTTATTATAGTGGTTGTCAATATATTTATCACTGCTTTTGGAGTTCAGAAGCCATCATCTCCCATCGAACATAAGGGATAGAAAGGTAAGTTCCAATTTAGAATAGAGCAGTGTTTCTCAACCTTGGCAACTTGAAGATGTGTGTTCTTCAACTCTTCCCCATGCTGGCTGGGGAATTCTGGGAGTTGAAGTCCACACATCTTCAAGCCACCAAGGCTGAGGAAACACTGGAATAGATTATCCTAAAGCAGGAGTACTTTTAGTCTGAAAGAAATCTGTTTCTTCTTATAGAGAAACATTTTTATAAGTCTGCATCATTTCTGTGTATTACAGAGTACAAGGTATTATAGGCGGGTTCAGGAATAATACTATTTTTTGTTTCATCTCTGTGCCCAAGCCATAGTAGAGAGTGCTTTACACTCCCATCTTTTTCTTTAACTCCTCCTTATGAAGATCAGAAAGTTTTCTCTTTCAATATCAATTAACTTTTTAAAAAAATTAATAATAGTTAATTAAACTGCACATAGTTATTTAAACTGTGGGACAACTGGACCTACTATGGTTAGTCAATATTTCAGAAAGTACACCTTCCTGTTTATATCTAGCCAAATATTAAGATACTCAGAAAAGATTTTTTGTGTTCCACGTGACTACAGCAAACAGAGTCTTCTTGGTTATGGCACAGTGATTATGGAAGATACCCCCTGCCCCAGGACACTTAAGTCAGTGCTTACATTGATCTTGATTCAGTGCCACATTTTTTAACCTAGTCTCTACTTTTATCTAGATTCTAAATGAGTTTTTATGGATAAGTAGGTGGGTTGATAACATTAACAAGATTTATGGAAACAAGCCAGAATAAATTGAAATTGGCTAATTTCCCTAAACTATGACTAAGGCAAACAATTGTTTGTTCAATGATACAGATAATAACAAATTTCAGGTAACTGAAAATGAATATAAAGCTTCTGATGTCTTTTAGACTGTTGTACTAAAAAGATGAGAAGGAAGTTTATGAATCCAAAACTTACAATAAATGCTACCTTTCTAGCATTATATTGAAAATACACTCAGATTGTAGAATCATTTGGGAGAAGTGATTTAGGGACTTGCTCATGATGTAGGGAAAGGTTTGGAATATGAAGTATAATAAGCAATAATTCACTCTTACGGACACCTTCACTGTCCTTTGTAGCATTTGGCCCCTTATGAATACTGATCGCTTCTGTTCATTTTTGCTCCAGGATACAGACTTAATTACTTAAAGCCATGCATTTCCCTCAGACAATGATTCTAGGAATTAAATATGTACAAGGCAACTATCAGACAGTGCTGTGTCTTCTCTTGTTTTGGATGCATTTTATATCACCTCCTCTATAGAAATTGATCTGAGTATTCTGTGATGGAATGGGGAAAAAGAATTAAAGGGACTACTTTAGAAGACAATAATCAGGCTGCATAGATCCTTTTAATTACTTTTTTGTTTTTCTTTTTCCCCCCCCAGAGACCAGCATTCTTTAAAATTCTGTAGACAGTTTATGCGCCTTGAAACAGTCTCTCTTGGATGAAGAAACTCAACAAGCGTGTTTCTCTTTCAGCTGGACTATTTGCCAGAAAGGCCATTTTATATAACTTCTTAACCTTATAAATATGATGGACTGCTATTTTGGGGGAAACTGAATTTAATTTGTAGTGTGAGGGATTGCACCCAAAGATGGTTGCATCAGACTTTCCACATAAACCTAATAGTATTGCTTCAGGAAAAACTGCAGTGTAAGTCTCCTGAGACTTTCTTATGACTCCATTGAAGTTCAGTCCCTGTGCCTTGAGAGAAATGCTGAACCGAGAAAGAGATCATCTATTTTTGGAAGCATGGACTTTATATAGGTAGGGAAAGACCCATGTACATTTAAGCATTAAACAATAATTTTGTCTACAGGACTTTCGGAAGTCTGTAATCCCAATGAACTATGCAGATTAAAAAAAATTAATTGTTAATTATTTATATAATTCCAGATGAATATCTGGTAGGCTGCTATCAATAAGAAAAAAGTGCATGCAATCAATGTGATGGTAATGTTGGACAACAAATATTTGTTTTTCAAAGATAATTTACCTTTAACTAATGTTCACTGATAGTCGTTCCAAGTGTTCCAAAGAGATGGGTGTCCAGCCTTTTTTCCAGTTAGAAATATATATTTTTAAATTTTATACTGTTTCATTGATACTGTATCTGCTTAGAACAACTGTGATGGGTGAAGCCATCTACTATGGCTTATAAACTTGCTTTATGGCTGAAAACATTTTGTGAACCCAGCCAGTTATGGTTTTATTCAATAAAGCATGGTTAATTCAACTGTGGTCTAGCATGATGCATGACCTTACAGTGTGATCACACCACAGCTTTGTATAAAGGCATTATAAAATATTCAGTTTTATTTTTTATTTCTTTCCTCTGGAATTGCTGTTTATCGTAACTTTTGATCAATTGTTTAAGAGAGTTTATCTTTATTCAGTACTTGATGAGAATTACAGTGTGCTTGCCTGACTAAAACAGAATAAAACTCCAAAGTTACCACATCTAAAATATAATATAATTTCATGTGGGCACATTTATTTTATTGCACACACAATCACTAGGTTTTTTGTGTGTTTGGGTTCCATTTACCTTACACTTTCATAAACTAAGAGACGATGTAAGGGAACAATGAAACAAGTGTGTGTGTTTTTGTGTTTGACAGAATAGCAACTTTATTCTCAATTCTTTCCTTCTTCCATACTCTGCACCATTTTGGGTGCCTTAAACATTTGTCAGTCTTCCTATGTTCTTCACAAACAGAATGAGTACAGGGATAATAGGGGCCATTTCACACTGACACTAGTGAAGAGCAGGGATATAAAAAGGGTACCCCTCATTCCTTTTGGGGTCCAGCCACTCTGAAGAAGCCCCAAAATGGTGCTGCACTTTTTCTACCCCTTCTGTACACAAATGTCAGTGAGCAATATCTCCCTGTACTCATTTTGTACATGACCCATCCATAGTGAATATTTTCTACTTTAGTAAGCATTATTTCTTACTCCAAAGTCTTGATAGGTCTGTCTTCTTTGTATTGAGGATGGCTTATCAACACTTGAATAGGGAAATGTCAAGGTCTTCCCCACTTTCCCTGCTTCAGTGAAGTAGCTTTTCATTCACAGGGAAGACCCATTCTAGAATGCACTTCAAAAAGGTAAAGATTCCACTGATACCTCTTCATGGATCTTCCAACACAATTCAAAAGCCATGGTGCGTTTTTCTCTGGCCTATACTGCTAACATTCAGACTGTTAGGAAATGCCGTCTTCAGGTAGAAGTAGAAATGCCCAACCAATCCACAAGATGCAGAACCAAATTCTGGTATGTCCAATTTTTCTTGGTTCATCTCATCTTCCCATTTGCTTTTTTTTTTTTAAGTCAATCTACATAGGAAATGATTATTTTAAAAAAGAAAGTATCTTTAATGAAATCAGTTGAGTCAGGAAATTAAACCATGTTCTGAAATTATATACACAATTTTTCCTTTAAAAAAATATAGTGAATATTTTCTTAATTTATCATTTGTTAGAAGAAACTGCATTCTATTTTTAGTTACCTACAGATTTAATATTACTAATATGTTTTCTTTTTTCATTTTTATTCATTAAATATATACATTTTAAATATACAGTATATAGCACATTATTGAAGACACAGGATAGGAGCATTTTCATTTACCATTTTAGATGCTGTATTTTTCTACTTATAAAAATAAGATTCTAAAGAATAACATAATTTTTCTAGCAAGAAAATAGAGGAGAAAAAAGGACAGAATTTTATTGGGTTATCTGTTTTATTTTCAGTGAAAAAAAATGGATTTTATTGTTAGTAAAAAAGGTTTTCTTTTGTTCAGATGTGAAAATTGATCAAAAGGTTGCAGAATCATGGATAGGTTTGTTAACAGCTACTGCCTTTTTAACTATGAATAGGGTTGCTTCCTCTGCACAAGTCACCTGCAATTCTGTACATTCTTACTAGGAAGTAAATCCCACTGAATTAAGTAGGGTTTACTTCAGCAAGAATAGATTATATTTTAAAATATTAAAAATACAGTATAGTCAAATAATGTTCAGCTCTTTGTCACAGTTATTGTGTGATAAAATCAGATTTTACCTAAACAGTACAGTGCTTCAGGCACTACAAGTCAGGGAATGTTCTAAAATAGGATATATTAATTTATGCTACAGATTTTTACAAAACATTTTTACAACATAGTTTTGTTTGTTTGATTTCAGTAATGATATAAATCGGGGACAGCTATGGGGGGGTGGGGGTATCAAAAAAGGGAAGAAAGCCGTGCAATCCAAGCCCTGGCATTGCAAATGATAAATCTAAACTAGCTTGTCTCAATCTTGCATCCGCTGCATGGTCTGGATTAGATGACATCATAAGTACTTTATAGCCTTCTAAAAAATTGTATTAGAGGCACAATCTGACATGATTCTGATTTCCTGTTCACATTGGAATCCTGTACTTTGATTGCAACTGTATTACACTGCTTTAATTAAAATTAATTTTCTTTTTATTATTGGTCAATAAAGCAGTTTTGATAAAAGTGTGCAGCATTTCTTATTTATGCACTACTGATTCTGATTCATTTGGAGCCTTTTAAACAAAAACCTGGTATGTATAGTAAGGATAACATCAGCTGTGTTTCTGTCTGCTATATTAGTCTTAGTGGTACACATCTAGGCAAGGGGATTTGGCTGGTTCTAATTGGCTTTCTCCCCAAGGAAATGCTCTGTAACATAGAAACACATTTACTGGGAAAGCTAGGTTTAAACACAACAGAAACGTAATCAACTATCATTGAAAAAAACTTTATATTGCCTGTGCATAGCCATAGCCTTGGACAATCTGAACCAGTTGTCCTGTCACTTGCATAGTCCTATATTAGCCAATGTTTCCACATATGCAACAGTTTTATGCTTCCATGCCTTTAAGAGCATTCAGTGTGTCCACAGTTCTGTGTTTCTAATAACTTCATCTATAGTAATTAGCAAGACCCTTTTCAAGATTTTCATTCTGTGAAAATTTCATATCCAAATTACTTCACATCTAAGCACCAGTAGAAATATAGCTACAGGGATAAATTGAAAAGTTGGCAACTCTATTTCCAATTTCCTCAAATTAGTTCTGTCAGAAGCTCTTGACTTGCATGTCCACAGGTTCATCACGTGCTCCCATTTTAATTCTTAGAATTACCTTTTTCTTTACACGTCCCTCTTCATTTCACCATTCCCCAGCAGGACTGGACTACATGCTCCTCTATTGACGTTTATTCTGGATTCACTCTAATACGGTTCAGACAGGCATGGTTGGTTGGTTGGTTGGTTGGTTATGTATGTATGTATGTATGTGACATATATTCCACCTTTCCTGCAGGAGCTCAAGTTGTGAGATAAATAAGCATAAAAATAAAAAGACTGGCTCCTAATCACCCAGTGTCCTTCCATCCCTGAGGGTGAATTTGACCCTAGATTTCTCTCTGGTCCTCAACAACATATACCACACTTCCTCTAGCCAATTATAACTTATTCAATAAACCCAAGCTAAAAAAGCCATGATTTAACTCGACATAGAAACATAACATAGTGCATGGGAGACAAAGATACAGGAGCTGAATGAGTGCTGAAGCTCTTCTAATTTCCTAGCTCTCAGAAATCATGATTTTACCTTTAAGGGTGCTTCCAGTCAAGGTATCATTCCCTACCTAGTCACCAAATTTTGAGGGACATCCTCCATTTGTAACTGGAGTTGTCCCACTACAGCACCTTTACTCATTTTTCTTTCTGGAAAAAACAAGCAAAAGAGAGAGAGAGAGAGAGAGAGAGAGAGAGAGCTTCATTGTGCATTAGGACAGGCAGTGTAAGAAGCAGTCTGTCTGGAAGCACTCTGAATCTCATTCATGCAGTCCTTTGCACATTGGTACAGAGATCCCATTTGCCATGGTGGACCTCACTCCCAGAAAAGAATGCAATAGGATTGAAGCCTAAAGGTCTCTCAGCCTCTAGGCACAGTGACCCCCTTATTTTCATGTATGCCCTTTGGCTTTTTCCTCCCAAGCATTTTATTTACTCAGCTCTTTTTATCCTGGGATGGTGTTCACTCCCTTCTCTTACCCTTGGCCTATTTCTCATGTTCAGTTTTTCCCTTTCGAAGCAGTTTCCCATTCAGCAACTTTCATTTCCTTTTCCTTGGTCATTTCGTGCCAGTAACTCTCACATGTTGAATAGCAGGAAAGACTTGAATCAGGGAGTGCTCTTTACTCAAAATAAAACATGGCCCTTCTGAGTTTGTTCCTTTCAGCAGGGTATATAATCCCTGTTCCAATTCCCACAAGCAGATTTCACAGTCAGCAAAATTATGACTTCTTAGAAGCGTGCATCGTTCTGCTCATTAGGAAGAAACACACACAACTGCAACAGCTTTTCAGTTATGGAGAAGCTGAAAAAGTCCCACATTTCAACCTCCCTCTCCACCCCCAGAGAATAGAACTGATGTGTGTCTTTTGCGATTGGGACCAACTGAAGCTTCAAGAATCAGGGAGTTTGGCAAGGGTGTCTGTGAGATGGGTGGTGGTGGGCAAAAAAGACCCAGGATGGTGGTCACAACCAGGTGGCAGTTGAAGCCCCATGCATGGTTGTGGATGCCATCTTCCCTTTTTGACTCCCCCTCCCTCCCACAGATTTCTCTGGATTAGGGGAAATTCTATTCCAGGACAATTTTTGATGCTACAAGAGTAAAGAAAAAAACTGAGTCGTCAGTCCAGTCAACAGGCAGAGATCATTGCAGCCCGGGAAAATCAAATGCCAAAGAGCGAATAATGAATGTGAGTTCTCCCCTAAGTGGGCATTTGCAAAGAGGAGGAGGCCTGCTCCACTTTGCTTTTTCTGTTGTTGTTCCCATTGGAGTGATTTTCCAAGGATGGCTGTAAGCCATATAAGAAAGGATGAAAATCCAGGTTGGAGTTTGGGGAATCAAGTTAGGAACCACTGGGACTACATGCAATAGAGATTTGATTAGATTTTTATGGACAGTGATCCATGCTGTGGGTAGTTTTTCTTTCTGTGTTGCAGAGATCCTGACATGACAGGGAAGTTCATATGGATATAGGAATCCACCCCCAAATCATGCAGGTCTTCATAGGTCAAAGTTTTGTTTTAAAATGATTTAGAATCCATTCAAAACACCAGGCTCTTTGTTCCTGGAAGAGTGGATGAAAAGACAAACTGAATTCCATCCCCATCACCTTAAGCCTCCTACTATTGGGCCTTACAACTAAATGTCAGATGACCAAATGTATTTAGGCCATTGTATTTCCTGATACACATTAAGTTTTGCTCCATGCTGACACACGTTTCGGTAGAGAACAAATCATGAATAATAAAATACCTTAAGCTTTTATTAGCCACCTTGGGACCACAATCATTATAATGCTTACTTGGCTCTTTATAAGTGGGTGAATTAAAATGAAAGTGGACTACGGCTTGGCAACTGTGATCTTTATTAGCCCCAAGTCTCAAATACTGTTTTATAGTGTTAGTCTCTCATGAGATGGTTTTAATTCCCTGAAGCATATCACCTGCTACAATTTACTGGAAGAAAAACCCATTTTATGGATAAAGGTATTTAAATTATGCTATTAGCTTGGAGCTGAATACACTCTAAAAATGACTAGGCCAAGAGATCTGATTTTTGGATAAAAGCTGTTTGTGCTTAGGAAACAGCAATAATTAAAATCAACCTTTGAACAACTTACTCACAAATACCTGCTTTCCATGTCCATGCTCACCTCTTAAGCAACATCTCCCATGGGATGTGCTGAACAAATACTCCATGCTCCTGGAAGCCAATTAAATGCTATTCGTTGTAGTCTCTGTGATGCACGCATATGACTTTTGGGCTCAGGAAGTGCCCTATTTGGAATCTTTCAGAGCATAATTAACTACCACCACCATCCAGGGCTAAGAGATGGCTCTTGAGATTGAAAATCCTGGATGTTCTACATACAGTATCTGCACTACTTGCTAGCTGGGAATTCCCTATGCTGTGTGAAAAATGCCACCACACTGCCTCTAAAAGAGTGTTAGTAGGTAGAAACACACATTTCACCAAAGCCAGATGAATAGGTTCAGAGTCCAGAGCCAGGCCAGCCATTATATATTTGCTATATTACACATTCAATGAATTTTGGCACAGATTCTTCCAAAAAAAGGACCA